TCATAAACAAAGGATCTCCTACCTACTTTTAACTCAGCAAGCTCTTTTATGAAACATTTGCTGTTCTGGTTAGATAAAGCTAAATAAGGTTTTGATGCTTTTCCATGTAAATCAAACATATGATTTGGACTTAAGGGAAGAAGACGTTTGCGCCTCTGACTATTTCCAGGTGCATTCGGTTCATGACACTGTTCCATCCTGTTTGGCCTTTTTTGGTTTTGCAATTGCTGTTGCAGATGATCAGCTTTCTCAACTTCTAGGAAAGAAAGAACAATGAATCCTTTCATGAACATCATTATGAAATAAAACTAAAAAAACAGCTGGCACTTTAGTGGAAACCAAATGATATTACCTGAAAGTAATTCCAAGTATAGATGCTCTTTTTTTTTTGGCTGGCTCAGGCTGCCTTAAGGGTAGGTCTAGTGCAGCATGTGGAGCTGGGGATCAAACGGCAGTTCCCTGCGCCTGCCTGAGTCTGCCCAAGCAGGTGCTTTAAACAACTGAGCTAACTAACCAGCAAGCCCCCTATAAATGCTCTTTATCTCCTTTTTAAAAAACTTTTTATATAACGGATAAATACAACATTTGCCACTTAACCATTTTTAAGTGCACAGCCCTGTAGTAATAAGCCCATTCCCACTCTTGGGCAATCATCACCACCAGCCAATTCCAAAATCTTTTCATGTTCCTGAGTTGAAAAACTGTATCCATTAAATACTGATCACTTCAGGTCCTGGACATAGACAAACATAGTGATACTAACAACAAACCAAACAACTACTAGTACAAAACACACTTTAAACAGTTTTGGCTGCTTTCCAAAGAGGGCCTTGGCAATGGTGACAAGGAAGTCACTGTAAGCACGATACTACACAGCTGGCGCAGCGGGTCCCTCATATCCAAAATAGTGAAGGACTTATTCACTCAACCTGATTGTATAAAGGGACTACAACTGTAATTCAGGTATGGTGCTGGTTTTTGTTTTTTTGGGTTTTTTTTGTATTTTAGGGAAGGGCCTACAGGGTGTTCAGGGTCTCAAGTAGTGAGGCTCGTAGTGATCTGCCTGTTTACAGCCTCCCAAGAGCTGGGATTACAGATGCACGCCACCACGCCCAGTCTCTGGTGCTAGTATTGGACAAAACACTATTCCTTAACTTCACCAAAGTGCTATCCTAGGAAGAGGGAAAAACAAGATAAAACAGAAAAAGAAAAAGCTAGGCAATTGTAAATGGGGTAATTGAAGAAGATGAAATGATGAGAAAAGGATGGCACCAGGATTCATATGGGAAGATGGTAAGACTCAGTCCTGGATGAGGTAAGAGAGAGTAGTAAAACTGGGACTGAAAGGGTCCTACGTAGTTGGCTTGAGCTAAAGGGTAAGTAGGTGGTGCTTAATAGGATGGGTGAGGCAGGAAGTATATTACTAAATCCAAACTAAGGCTCAAAGCCAATCTAGCAAGCTAGTAAGATCATAAAAATTTAAAATATTACAAAATGAAGGTTAAGGATAGAACCAGTGGAAAAATGCTTGCCTAGCATGCAGGAGGCCCTGTCGGTTCAATCTACAGTGCCAAATTAAAAAAAAAAAAAAAAAAAAAAATGAGAAATATTGGTGAAGTTCCAAATGTAGGTGAAGGGGCTAGGGGGATAGCTCAGTGGCTTAAGCACTTGCCTGACAAGAGAAAGGTCCTGAGTTCCATCCGTGGCCCAAAAAAAAAGAAAAGCAATACCAAATGTAAGTGAAATCAAGCATCTCCTTTGAAAATTAACTTTGAGATAAGCATCAAATAAGTACAGAAAGGAAAAGCAATTAGATATATAAACCTTAAAAAAGTCCTAACTAGAGAAAGCAACGTGGGATCATTCATATACAAATATTACTGAAGGTCACAATACTAGGTAAGATCATATTCAGAAAATGTGAACACTAAAACAGAGGTTTTCTTATTTATTTTTGCTCTCCTGGGGATCAAATACAGGGCCGTAGGACGAGGGCCCAGCATCAACATAACTATTTCAACATACAGATATTTGGAATTCACAGGACCTATGAAGGAGCCCTGAACAGTAATGAGCCTGTGGAAGGAAATAGTAAGATATGGCACTAAAAAACATATCTCCAGGAGGCAATTCAAAGGGCTGGATGCATAGCATTTTATTTCAAAGGGACTAACACCTGGGAGCTCATCTATTGCTAAAACAGCCCCCTTATTTTTGTAGCCCACCATCAAATCAGCTGTTGTAAAGTACCCACTTCAAACATCCAGGGAAAACAGCAGTCAACATTCTACCCTGTATCCTGCTATGACACATTCTTCTTTCTTTTTTTTTTTTGTGGAGCCAGGGATTGAACTCAGGCCCTTGTGCTTGCCAGGGAAACACTTATTCCACTGAGCCATGTCCCCAGCCCCTATGACACATTCTTGTATGTCCCTGAAGAACACGAAAACCCCTACAGACTCATCAGATCCCAGGAAGGCATACAACCTAGGTGCTATATCAGATGTGTCAACTGTCACTTTCATCATAATATTGCACTGCAGATGTATCATACTGGGATTATTACCATTCCAAAGTCTCTGACATAGTAGAGACTAACAGAACTTTCTTCCTTGATTCTACATGTGTCTCTAGTAGTTCACAGGCCTTTAAAGGAGGCCTTCTGGGGACTGGCAAGAGCTCAGCAGGTTGAGTGCCTGCCTGGCCAACAGTAAGGTTCTGAGTTTGATAGGCAGTACAAAAAAAAAAAAACAAAAAAAAAAAAAAAAAAAAAAAACACAACTGAGTGGGTCTGTGTCTGTTCCCAAAATTCCCAACTTTTGCAAGATGTGGTAGCACACGCCTGTAATCCCAGAGCTTGGTAAGCTAACGCAAGGCGATCACTGCAAGTTAAACACCAGCTTGGGCTACAAAGTGAACTCAAAGCCAGCCTGAGATATACAGCAAGACCCTGTCTCAAAAAGACAGCCAAGTATGGTGGCACAAGCCTATAAACCTAAGACCCTTGCGAGGCTGAGGGAGGAGAACGGCAAGTTAAAGCCCAGCCAGCCTGGGTGATTTAGCAAGATCTTGTCCTAACATTTTAACTAAGGTTGGGGATATGGCTCAGTGTGTGAAGGCCCCAATTCAATCCCCAGCACTGCAAACAAACAAACCTTATAACACTATCATTCACCATCTACAATACACATTTCTTTAGCATCTCTCAAATTCTTCCTATGTTTACTAATCATTTTATCTTTGAACCCTGAATTATAGCAAAAACATTTTAGATATTCAAAAGCTTAATTTGTAAATGTTAGCTAAAGACTGTCCTATCTGTGCTAATAAAACCTTCACTCCAGATACTTGTTTCTTAATTAAATTTAGTTATTTTATTTGTGTAACTCTTATATGCAGTACTATAATGTGGAACAGTCTACTACATGTCATAGTTAAGCTTATCAATTATAATCACATCACATGCCAAAGCCTTACAGTTTAACAAACTGCATTTTTTGTTTAGTTCATAAATCTTGTTTATAGAACCTCAGTCTTTTCTTGTATAGTTCAGCTGGTTTATACTGTACTGTATAGAATAACACTGTAATTTCATGTACTATTATACATCAGAGTACTAGATATAAGAGTTACACAAATAAAAGCTAAGCCTTCAAGCTGTGACTGACCTTATCAGATACAAAAGTTAATTTCTCCTTATACAGGTCTTGCTTTATCTTGGTCTTTTTTTTTTTTTAAGTTTATTTATTTATTTATTGTGTGTGTGTGTGTGTGGCCAGCTCAGGGGGCGGGGCTGGCTGGCATTCCTGTTGCGGGATCGAACCGCGGTCACTGTGCTTTGCCAAGCTTGTTCTAAGTAGGTGCTTTAGACCACTGAGCCATCTTACCAGCCCCTGTATCTTGGTCTTAACCATCCAGAGAAAAGTATAAAAGCGAGGTATACAAAGTAAAGCCATATTAATATGCTGAGCTATAAAAGGCTCAAGTCAACAACTTCTGTGGCTAACCCACTACTATTGTGGACTGCTGGACTGTGTTGGATTGTTTTGCTGAATTCATGCACCTATAGTATTTAGATGCCAATGGAATACCCATTTCTGACAGGACTAAACAAAAAAAGGGGATACAAAGGAAGGACCATTTTGTATCTGTATATGCAGAATAATTAGATATACAGCTACTTTTGCTTAATTCACTGAGAAGAAAGATTTATACTAATAGTATTTGGACAGGATATCCTGTCTGCATCTTATACTATGGATAACCACTGAGAAGATAACAATGTACAATGTATTAATTATTGAAACTGCCCTATTCATCAGTTTGAAACTGTCTATTGATATTTGTTTCTTAATAAAATAAAATAGAAATATCTGCATTTTGAAAATGTTACCTAAAATGTTCAAAATATAAAAAAAGTCATTACTTCTTTGTTCTGAATATTACAATGTACATACAACAATATATACCATTCCTCATTTAGCAACCAATTCATTTAAGAGCATAAGACTGATGTCATTAGCACAGTACAGAAACAGGTCTGTGAGACACACATTTATTCTTTGGAATATTTCTGTTGATGAATCATTAACTTTAATTCTGTAAGTTTTATCAATATTAAGCAATGAATACTTAACAGGAAAAAAAATCACAAAAATATTGAATATCACAAAGTATTGAATTTTTTAGTATTTATTGAGTGCATAAAAAGTGTACAAATTTTCAATATCAACTATTTTCTGGCATAAAAAATCTAAAATAAAACAAAGGGCCGGCCAGATAGCTCAGCGGACTAAAGCATCTGGCTGAGATTGGGTATGGTGGTGGGCACCTGTAATCCCAATGCTTGGGAAGCTGTAAACAGGAGAATCACTACAAGTCCAACCTGCATAGTGAGACCCTGTAGGCCCTGTCCTAAATACATTAAAAAATAATAATAAAGGGGCTAGGGAGATGGCTCAGTGGAATAAGTGCTTCCCTGACAAGTACAAGGGTCTGAATTAAATCCCTGGTTCCGCAAAATAAATAAATAAATAAATAAATAAATAAATAAATAAATAAAACAAATTCTTATATGAACTAGAATGAAAATATCTATAGCACAACTCAAAAATAATAATCTTAGGGCAGCCAAATAGCTCAGCAGATTAAAGTGCCTGCAAGCAGGTGCTGGGGCCAGGGGTTGCAACCCCAGGGCCTGCTGTGTCGGCCCTGCCCTTGGGGCATGCTGAGACAGCAATTGAGACTGGGCATGGTGGTGCATGCCTGTAATCCCAGCTCTTGGGAGGCGATAAACAGGAAGATCACTACAAGTTCGATTTAGTAGTAAGACCCTGAACACTCTGTAGACTCTTCCCTAAAAATACAAAAAACTATTAATAATCTTTACTTCAACTGTCATACCTAAGTCAATCGACACACCCATCGCTTACACTGACAGCACGTGTGTCTTGCTCTCCTCGCTTTTATAAGACATCCTGACATGTCAGTGGTCTTGCTATTTTGTCAGGAGGTTCCTACTACATTATATAGTGTGCAGTTAGGTAGAACATAAAATACCAAATAAGAATAAGAAATTATATGCAATCTTTCCTAGTTACACAGAACAGGAACAGCAGAGAACCCCAGAGAGCAGAGAGTATTCTAGAAAACACCAGGAAGGCCAGAAGAAGTACAAGACAAACTTCATTTACAGAGCCATGAAGAAAACAGTGTTGAGACCCTCTATATAATCGTTGGGGAAAAATAAATGCATAATTAAATCGTGATTAGAGCTTACCTGAGGTCAAGTGCCTTGCCACTCAGACTTGCTACGGTATGCAGGAACATAATTCCATGTGCTTTCCATCACAGCTGAGACCTCAAGGGTCCGGTGATGCCCCAGGGCAAGATTTTACCAGCTGAAGACATCTTGGTTCTTCAAGAACCAGTAGTAATAAGAGTTTCACCCTGGGGAAAGGAAAAAGACAGGCTCCATAACTTGCCATCTCTCCCCACCATCCTTATCAGAAGATCCTCATTAGCATAAGGTCACCACTGCCCTCTAAGTCATCCAAATCGAACCTGATCGGCAGGAGACCTCAGCAGAGTCACTGCTGCCCTCATTGTGTACATCCAATAAATAGTGGCTAGCCTAGAGGATCATGGTCTCTGCCCATCCTGAGGCACTGACAATCAGGCCCCCTGTCATGAATTACTAAATTTATCTATTTCTTATGTCATCCTTTCGCCCTACCCCTCACTAAGCAAATTAGGAGGATGATTCCCCCTGCCCCAATACAGCAGCTTTCCCAGAAGGAAGATGACTCTCATTCCTTGCACTAAGAGTACAATCTCAAGGTAGTTGCCACACAGATAGGTAAGCTACACGGTCCTATTTTGGATAAGACACTTGGGAAAACCTACAGAGAACAAGAGCTTAACACGTACAAATGCAATATGGTCTTAAGGCCTCTGAGACAGAGCAGAAGCTGAAAATAGAACCTTTGGGAAAGCACAGAGTATTAAACAACAGAAAGCAGCAAAATGTAATTAAATTCCTACAGATAAAGAAAGACTCTCATGTGGAGGAGGGAAGGATGTGTGGAGGCTGTTTTGCACCCTCACACATTCACAAGCATGGTGATTCTTCTAACCGACAGAAACCCTGCCTTCCGCTCTTGCTGCCCCTCTCTTACCCAGACGGATCTGACTGTGGATTTCATCTTCTAACATCCACAGTGGCTCTCCCTATTCCAGTGTGGAGAGGACATCTGGCCTGCTAGCTTGAAACACTGTGAGTGGAAATGAGAGAAGACGTGGGCTCACTCAAGTGCACAAGGCATTAATGATGATATAAGAATGGTACATTTCAGGGAACACACAATGTCCCTATCTGAAAATTAAAAGCTTTTTCCTAACATGAGGGAGGACTGCAACTCCTCCTTTGGGCTCAGGCAGTGAGCAGAGAACCTATACATCAAAAGCAGAAGAAACATACCAAAGTTTCCAGAAGCTGAGAAAGGAAAGGCCACCGATGGGGCACCCTCTGAGTGACACAGGGCAGCTGTCCTCACCCACTGACACCAGGCTTCGGTAGTTCTCCAGCGTCACATCCCAGTACAGGTCCTTCTGAGCAGGGCTCAGGAGCTGCCATTCCTCCTGGGTGAACCTCACAGCCACGTCCTCCAATGTCAGTGACTCCTGTAACACCAGTCTGTTAATGAGTGGGTCTGCACTTATTAGAGTGGAAAGAATGTCAAAGAACTATTTTGCTCATCATCACGTAGGCCACATATATGAGCCTTGTAATTCCAATTATTTTCAATATAACATGAAAGAAGCAGTTAAGACACTTTGTAATTGGGCAGTCACCCATTAATTCAATAAGTCAAGTTTCTGTAATATGTAACCATTAGACCCTCTTACAGACGTGAGAAATCTGCAGAAGGTGCCTCAGCATCTAGTCACAATCACTGAACCACAGGCTACTGAATGCTCCCATAGTTGTACGATTCACAGAGAAAGACACAGTATGACCCTATGATATATATAAATGACGTCATAACATCAAGTTAAGTGACAAGCATTAGCGCTGGCAAGATAGCTTAGTGGACTAAGTGCCTGCTTAAGCAAGCACAGAGACCAGGTTCAGTCCCTGGCACCGTAGGTCTCGCCAGCCCCGCCCCACTCCCAGAGTGTGCTCAGCCAGCCACCTAGACTGGGCATGGTAGAGCATGCCTGTGATTACAGTGCGTAGGAGGCTGAAAACAGGAGGATCAGCAGGAGTCTGAGTTGCCGAGCTGCGTAGTGAGACCCTGTACCAAATACATTAAAAAACAAACAAACAAACAAAAACTCAAGCATTTGTTGGCCATAAAAAAAGCCATACTATGTTCAAGTGATTACACATATGAATATGTAATGTGTACATGTGTAAGAATATAAGCACATGTGTATGCAGACATGTATACACAGAGACAGGCCCAGGTATCCACACAGCTAAGCATCGAAGACACAGGGAAGGACAAGCACCTGTTCTTTCTTCCTGAAGAATTAGGGGAAAAAAAAATATGCAGAGGGAGATTCTTTTATTCACGTGCTGTGCAATGTGAGTCTTTCCCCTCAAAGTTTATTTGTGAGTCTGCGGTTCCTTCCAACGACAAAGATGTGTCTTCTGGCAGCAGTTCTGCAAGTCCCGGCCTGACGCCAAGGGGGAGCTGCACACTTTGACACTATTCTCGCACCACCCAGCCCTATCATCACACTCCACAGTTTTAAAGGCTCGGCCCTACCGCACTGCACGTTGATCAGATGCAAGCCGGAAGTTTCAGGTGCCCAGGTTACCTGTGCTTCTGTACAACTCGCTCAAATTTGAGGGTTGCCACAACCTGTCCCCTCAGAATAGAAATTTGTTTGAAAAACCTGTAAGTCGGTAAAATGTTATACCTATTACTCTGTACTACTACTACACCTAGCCGGATGAATAGGTAAGTCGGGTGAGGTCCACAAGCATGGAGTTTCTGTTTCCTTGGAGTTGGGGTATACTTGTCACCTCCCACATGTTCACCAATTCAGCAGCTCTCCAAATGCCATGGGGTTTTATGCAGGTTTTCTTAGGGTAGGCAGGAGCGATAAAATCATGGACTACTGGTGACAGGACCAGGGCAAGAAACTGACAGTTCCAAACCTCTCATCAAGAACTGTGTTTCTGGTGACCAGGCTTCATCCTCAACTATCCAGGGACACACCCTGAGTCATCACAAAACTACCCACTCAGGAATGGGTAAAAAGGGTTTGGGGTTTCTTTTTGCTTCCGTTTGGCTTGGTTTGCTGGGACTAGGGATTAAGCACATGGTCTTCAAACTGAGCTGCATCCCAGGCTTTTACTTTTTAAATTTTGAGACAAGGTCTCACTAAGTAAAATGACCGGGCTGGCGTCAAACTTGTAATCCTCCGGAGCACTGGGATTACAGGACAGCTACAGGGGCATCTTCTGAATAAGAAAACAGGCCTGCTAAGCATGGTGAAAATGCCTGCAATGCCTGTAAATTTGGAAGGCGGAGGCCACCCAAGGCTAGGGAGTTAAAGGCCAACCTGAACTACACAGTGAGCCCCATTGCAAAACAATACAAATGGGCTAGCCAGATAGCTCAGCAGACTAAAGCACCTGCTTAGGCAGGCACAGCGACCGGAGTTGGCTCTCTAGCACTGTGCCAGCCCCACCCCCAGGGCACACTGTGATGGAACTGAGACTGGGTATAATGGCGTGCACCTCTAAGCCAAGCACCTGGGAGGCTGAAAACGGGTATCACTATGAGTCCAATCTGTGTAGTGAGACCCTGTACTAAAACGCAAAAAAAAAAAGGGGGCCAGGGATATAGCTCAGTGCCTGGTTGGCAAGCAAACGGTCCTGACTTCAATTCCCAGTACCACCCTCCAAAAAATGATCTTCTCTTTCAGGAAATCCCAATATATATATGTAAAAATATATAACATACATTTTTATTATACTCCAATAAGTTATTCACATATGTAAAAAGAAGAGGGCTGCTATGCCATGGGAGGGTCCCCATGACTGCGTGTCAGAGGCTGGATTGCCAGTACATAGCACTACAGAGAGGTGGTGGAACCTTAAAGAGGTGATGCCAAGCAGAGCGAGTTAGGAATTTTGTCACAGTAATGAAGAGCTGACTAACATAAGACATGAGAGGTTATGGATCTGAACACAGGGAGGGCTCTGCATTTTAAGAGAAGGATCGGAAGCTAAAGCTTTGGATTAACAACGCAAGCCACTGGCAAACAGAACTCTGAACTCCCTGTGCCCAAGTCTGTGTTCAAACACCAGTCCTGGAACCTTCTCATACAGAACCTTTCACACCCAAGTGAACCCTGTACTTTCCACATAATTAGGTTTTATTCATGGATAAACCCCTGGCTTTACAGACCATCAGGCTGTGTTCTCCTGAAAAACTGTGCTACCAAATTCCTCGCCTTCCAGTCCACTGGGGACATAAAATAGTCATCGCATAAAAAGAAGGGCTGGGGCCAGTGAGGTAGCTCAGTGGACTAAGCTCCTGCTTAGGCAAGCACAGGAACCAGGGTTCAATCCCGGAACCACATGCTGTGCTGGCCCCTGCAGCACCCCCAGGTGCACTGCGCTGGCCCTGAGACCAGGCATGTGGTGCATGCCTATAATCCCAGCGCTGGGGAGACGGACGCAGGAGGACCTCTGTGAGTCTGAGCTGCACAATGAGACCCTGTACCAAATACATAAAAAGGCGGAGGGGCTGAAGGGGAGGAATAAGCAAAAGACTAAAATGTGTCAGGCACATGTACAAATCCCCCACGATGTGTTCATTATGTACCGCAAATATGTACTAAGAAGTAAAATAAAACAAAATGGAACAGCCATACAAAACCTGTTTGCAAGTCTTTTGCGGCAATGCTGCGAAGGACAGTCTACCGCATCACATCTAGAAAAACCCGAAAATACGACATTCCCTGAGCAATGGATCAGTCTCCTCCTGGCCCTTAGAGACACCAGATGCAAGCTGACCGTTAATCCAGCCAACAAGGGCCTGCAGACACACATTAGATTCCAGCACAGAGATCATGCAGCGTGAACTCTATGGAAAATATACTTCTGCGTGTGTGTGTGTGTGTGTGTGTGTGCGTGCGTGCGCACACATGCACACAGGCTTGTTTCTCTGGGGATGGAGCCCAGGGCCCCCAGCATGCTAGGCAAATGCTGTACCACTGAGCTATAGCCCCGCCCCAAAATACACTCCTCATCCCACTTTGTGCTGATTTTTAAAGATACAGTCCATGTTTATTTCCATCCAGAGCCCATTTTCTCCAATTTACGCTTTTTCTTTAAAATGAGTGATTTCTACAGGCCACAACAAACCCAAGAAGGAATCAGAATAAAATAAACCGAAAGTCACCTGGGCCGTTGTCATCTTCCGCTTCAGAAACATCCTGTAACTGAAATGCTCTGTCTGCAGTGTCTTCTGGATTTGCCTCAATTTTTAATTTAGGACTCTGAGTCTTTGGTGAAAGGCATCCCGGGAAACGAGGCACCGCACATCCAGGAACCTCTTCTTGCCTTTCTTCACTCAAATGTTCTCGCTGTGAGACGAAGAGAAATGGCAGCTGACGACACAGTTCCCACAGCCCAGGTGCTGCTGCTGTGGACCGGGTACTGAAGCAAAGGGGAAAATGCTCTGCATCGGGGGGCCTGAAGACGTCCAACTTTATCATGTGCACAGGCTTTGGGAAAGCTAAGAAGGAGACAAGGAAATCATAACTTCAGAAAAAAAAAAACCTCACTCTTAAGAAGACTGCAACTTCTAGAACCAAAGTTACCGAAATCAGTATGTACCACCAAATTAGATTCCCTACCGATGAGATCCATAACATCCAAACTTCCACGCGAAAGCCAAAAGTCTACAAATTGACTTGATTGAGAAAGTAAGGGATTAGGAACCCAATCCCAAAATAGAGGAGCAGGTTGCGCAAACCCAAAGAATGCTCAAATTACCTGTTCAGGAAGCAAACTCCGGACTTTGGATTTTTCAGGCGCTTGTGTCGCTGGGTTACAATCCCAAGCCTCTATTGGAGGGGAAAAATATCATCCATACCTGTAGGAGGGTTAAAGAGTGGGGGAAGGGGGTCACCTTTTGCCAAGCCTCAAGGCACTGGTGGTCCCAGTCTCTGCTAGCCACGCGCCTCATCTCACGGAGCGCCCGCCCATCCCCGGGCGCGTCCTCAATCTCCGCGCCACTAAGCCCTTCCGTGGCACCCACCGGCGCATCCGGAAAAGCCTTTCTCCACCAAGGAGCTCAGCAAACTTACACAACAGAAAGGTGGGCCGGGCTGGTTGTTCCAGGCTGGGGAGCCCGCAGACCCAGCCCGGGGAGGTTCGGCAGCCCACGCCGGAGCCTCAACTCGACCACCGCCGCGAGCGCCCCGAGCGGGCGGGCCGCGCGACCGCCAATCCCCGCACCCCCGCCTCCGGGGCTCCTAGGACGCCGACCAAGCACCCCTCCGGAGCCCCAAACCTCCACTACGCGGGCCACCGCCGCAGAGTCCCACGTGGAACCCAAACTGCCTTTGTACTGACAAATGCTCGGCAACCTCCGCGATGACCCGCAAACGTGACCTTTCACCTGCGACCCCGAGCGCTGGGCGCCCCAACTTCGGACGCACGTCCCACATCCCCAGCACCTCTCTGCGCCAATTTCTCCGCCTTTAAACCTACACTTCAAGGATACTCACTTGCTTTGCCTCTGAACTCACTAAAATCTCCAAGGAGCTATGAAGAATCCCGGGAACACATCTGGGTTTTTTGACCTTTAAACCCAGCACGCCTACGGTGGCCGGCAAGGCCTCTGATGAATGGATTTCGGGAGCGCCTTAGCGAGCAATATGTCTGCGCCCACTGTGCGCCTCCACGGGGGACGCCATCTTGGAATAATTGCCGTACAGAAAGTGAAGCCGAGAGATAACCTAGACCTGGAGTGAACGAAACAGGAGCCTACCCTGCTGGAGTCCCTGGAGTTAGTTAGTTAGCTTTTAGCGTCATTTTCCTCCCCTAACAAGCAGCCCAGGGGAGCAACCCGCTCGGGCCCCCCTCCTGTCCCTCTCTTGGACAGGAGCTTTCTTTCCCTCAATAAATATATTCTGCTCATGACCTCCATTTGTTCCTAAAATTCATTCTTCGGTTTTACAGAACACGAACTCGTCCAGGTCAGGGCGGGAGATCATTTTTCCCTTATGTCATCTGGAGGTTCCCTGTAACGTTTGGAGGTCACCCACCCGAGATCAATTTTTCTCCCTGTATCAATGTCACTTGGAGATGGGGAGGTGATTAGCTTGAGCACAGGCTATGGGTGGGGCCCTAACGATTGGATCAATGTCCTTACAGCAACAGAGGGGACCAGGGCTTCCTTTTTCTTCATCTTGTGAAAACAGCAAGAAGGTGAATGTCTACAGACCAGCAGATTCTCCCCAGGAATGACATCTGTGACACTTGGATCTCAAACAGTGACAGGAGATTAGGGCATGGCAAAGCTGGCTGGGGTGACCCATTGATCGTAAGATCCAAGAACATGGGCTCAGAACAGTTCCGAAGCCCTGCACATGAGCTCTGAACAGGTTTTCCGTAGGGCGGCTTAGGTTTGCCATCAGCTGAAGACTAAGCCATGCAAGAAGGACCATCACCACTGAATGCCTTTCTGTTCTCGCTGACAGGGACCGCTGCCCTCACCCTGTGAGGTGTCTTTCTTTTCCTACTTTTACTTGGCCCAATCTTGCTCAGCATAGCTTGTTTCTTTTTCTACCTTAAATAAAACTTCGCCACCATTTGTGTTTGTCTTGACCAACTCGGAACCAAGAAACCATCTCCTGCTGGAGACTACACCCCAAACCTGGTAACAAAACTTCCAGATCTGTGAGAAATAAACATTAGATCTTAGGGAAAAAATAAAAAATAAGAACAAGCAGCCCAACAGGAATTCTTGAGGAGAAGCAAGGCCTCCTGGGAGGATAAGAATATTTCTCAGAGTAAGGGTGACCTAGGAGGAGAGAGAAATGTGGGAGGTGCTCTGGCAAATGGAGGTCCACAGATGGGTTAGGCAGTGAAGCAAAGAGTCAACCTTGAGAAAGAGAGATAGGCAGAGACTAGGGCTCACAAGGCATGGTTAACGTGGCAGACATTATAGAACGCACCTTTGCTTAATGGAAATTGCCCTTTGTGAAACCTTCGAAGGTGTGGATCAGTTACTCTTAGAGACCCACTTGTATGCATTCCCTGGAAAGTCTCTAGACCTACAAACCTCAGCTCACCTTAGCAGCAGCTCAGCCAGGGGCAGCTCATCCCAGTAACAAAGGCTAAGACTGTAGGGAGCAGCTGAAGCTGGAAATTGGTCGCGTGTGGCGGGCAAAGTGGGCTGTCTGAGAACAAAGAGCATCCCAGGCAATCAAGCTGCTGGCAGAGAAACAGCTTACCTCAGAAAATCCCAATCATTAGTCTCTGGGCAATACTGTATCAGGCAATACTTTATCAAATGTGTAAATACACGCCCAGAGGGTCGCTAAAGAGCACCTTTCCTCCCATCAGGAGAGGGCTCCACCTTATCTCAGCTTTCTTCTCTCATATTTATTTCCTGTTTTTCTCCTGGGAACATCTAGAGCTGCACAGGACACAGCATTAGACACTGACTGGCCTATAGCACACCAGTCAGTGAGGAGTCCCATAATCCTTAACTCTCCCCAGAACAGTTTGCCCCTACAAGAGTGGGCAGAGCAAAAATTTCTGCTCTCCCCTATAGCTTGCTTTCAGCAGCTCTCTCCCCGCCACTGAAATATAAGTAAACCTTTGCTTCACGCTACTTTTGTTTCTAAGTTCCTCATTCTTGGAAGGATGACCTGACTATTTTATTCTCCACTTGGGAGATCTGATTTTAATCAGCCTGGCCCCACCCTTGCATTCCTCACCAGGGTAAGAGCAGGAAACCCAGAAAGGCAGAGGGTCTTTTAACCAGAAGACCCCTAGCTTACCTGACCCCCACCTGGTGCAATGTGTTCTGCTCTTGTTCTCCCTAAATACTTTACTGAGTCCTCTCATAACTCTACCTTGTAATTCTTTCTGGGCTGAGAGAAGAACCCACCTGCAAGTTGGCAACAGAAACGAAATGGCTTTTATGTAACTACCTGGAATATCTTATGTTAGAACTGAAATCTAAGGTGCAATGAAAAATGTTATGCATTGATCTAAGCAAAATAAACTCATCAATTAGGAAGCATCCAATCAAAAGAGCCTAATGCTGGCTGGTATACATATGCATTAGAGGATTAGAATAATAAGGAAGTGAAACAAATTATTGACTGGCTAGCTGTAGCATCATCTTTTTTGCTTTCTTGAAAAGAATATAATTACATGTCAGCTTGTGATTGGCTAAAGTTATGTTTTCCTTTTCTCTACCACAAGCATTTACAGAAATGACTCAAGTTAGGTCTCCCATATGTTTGTAGCTTAAGCAATTCAAGGGTATTTTCCATGCTTGTTTATTTTTGTTTGTTTTGTTTTGTTTTTGTTTGTTTTTTTGTTTTTGGTAGAACCAGGGATTGAACTCAGACCCCTGTGCTTGCCAGGGAAGCACTTAGTCTACTGAGCCATGGCCTAGGCCCCTGTTTTTTGTTTTTTTAAACTCAGGAATCTTTTCAGATCTAGTCTCCAGTCTAACCTTGTTTTGACTGAAGACAATGAAAAGGCATTGACCTGGTCTCTGTCATGATGCTTTGACCCCTACATTGTAAGGGTGGAAGGGTGATCGGCAAAGCAAAGACTGCATAGAGTCTCAGTGACTGGAGCTTATCCAAACCAAATGGGTTTTTTGCCCCAATCCTGTACTGTTGCCTGCTTGGCCTGATGTAGCTGAATTTGTACTCTGCCCTAATCTTGACTATCTTTGAGGCCAAGATGCCTATAAGGCAAAGGTTTCTCTTCAAACTGGCAAACAGAAAAATTGGTTGCAGAGCCTGTGACGTAGCTCAGCAGCACAGTGCCTGCCTGGTAAGTGCAAGATCCTGATTTTAACTCTCAGTACTATTAGGTACAAACCCACGCAATCGACCAGATCAGGCATTCTAATACGAGTAGAAGATTTATTGGGGGCATCAAGCGAGCTGGCTGTCTAGCGGATCAAGACAACAGTGAATAAGGCAAAGCACAGAGCCTTTAAGGAGTGGGGAGGGTGCTTGTGAGCTGGAACAGCTGAGGGAGAGCTGATCTTGGCAGGGCTACCTGGTCTGCAGGGGACCTTCAATGTTAACAAAGGAGAGTTTCTGCAGTTGCTTGCCCAGGTCAAAGGCATACAGATTTGTTCTGAGGTTGGTTGTGGGCTTTGCTTTGTGTGGGGTCAAGGGGGACAGAGTTTGGGGGACAGGGTGCCTTGGAAACTGAATCCTGACCTATCAAGTACAAAAAAAAAAAAAAAGAAGGAAAAGAAATTGGTTGGAGCAAAGATGGCTTCCAAAATGACCTCCAACTTCATTTTATGGGCATGTGTATGCTAAGTGACAAACTTCCAAGGCAGAGCAATGATAGTTAGCAATTGCCATGATGATGGCCAGAAAGAACCATAAAAGCAACAGAAAAAGGTGTCTCAAATTTCCAGAAAAGATGGGACCAGTTCCCACTTTATGAGCCTATCCTTCCCCCTCATTTCTTTGACCTTATATCTGTAACTTCTTCACCCTAGTGGATTGAAAGATTGATTTGGGACTTTAATCTCCACTAATTTTAGGACAAGTATATAAGGCTCTCTTGCTGCTTTTGGGGGTGTGGTCTTGTTATTGGTTTCGTAAGTCCTTCTTCTGCCCCTAGTACTGGGGATTGAGCCCAGGGCCATCAGGTTGAGCTACATTCCTAGCACAGAGAACCTCAAGGTCAATAATTCTTAATTCTTAACTTTTGCTTTTGTTTATGGCTTCCTGGGTTTTTTGTTTGCTTTGTTTTTTTTTAGACAAGATTTTGCTAAATCACCAAGTTATCCAGGCTGGGCTCAAACTTGCAATTCTCCTTATCTCAGTTACTCTTTTCTCATTGCTGGGACAAATATCCAACGCTCAAGTTGAAGGACAGAAAGGTTTATTTAGCTCACAGTTACTGGAGGTTTCAGTCCATACTCAGCTAGCTCCAAGGCAGAGTGGCCCCTGAACAACCTTTCATGATGGCTACAAAGAGCAGAGAGCAAAAGGGAGGAATAGGGGCAACAATGGCTAGAGGGAGGAAGTCGGTCTCCCTTAAATTGCATTCAGGCTGTATGTCCCAGGCTGTGTGTAGTTTCATACCCATAATCCCAGCAGTACTAAAGCCCATAATCCCAGCCTTGATCATGAATTAATCTCAAACTCTAGAAGTCCCTGCCCCATGACTGCATGAGGCTTTAGGGGGACAACTAGACACAAACCATAACACCCCTACATCAGCCTTCTAGGGTGCTGTGATTATAAGGATGCACCATCACTGGTTAAGTCCACAACTCCAAGAGAAGAAGAGAACTGAGTTTAGGCTCACAAATTTATAGCATTACTACCAAGAAATTCCTAGACTTGGCCCAATGAACATGACCATTTTAGAGGGATTTAAGATCTCCCTACAACAGAGACTATAGCTTGAAAAAGTAAAAATGATAGGTCAATTGGCTTGGATTATAAATTTGTGACAAGTCTAATCTTAGTAAGATTAGATT